TGTGATTTAACTTTATTTTTGAAGGCCATGGATTTAACTTCTTTTTTATTAAAAAATTGTTTTTAAAAAGCAGTTCAGCAGGTAGCCTGAGACACATCCTCAGAAGGTAAAGTGGCCATGTCTCAGTATTGGCCAGGTCTTGTTTCATTGTATTTTCCTGATTTTTATTAATGAAAAATTAAATTAATATTTTCCCACTGAAATACTAAGGGTTATCGATTACAAGCCCAAAATTACTATTACTTTTTTTTATCTCTAGTGGAGCCAAAAGTACTAGCACCTAGTATTTTCAGTCAGCCAATTCTTGAACTAATGAGAATTCAGAAAGCAGTTTAATGACAAAAATGGCTTGTCTGGTGAAGTCAGGACAAAAATTCCAGCAGCCTCGGTAGTACCACAGGCTGTCCTGAGAACTTCTGCAAAAAACAATAAATCTCGCCCACCTGAATCTGACTGGGATGTCAACAGCTGAACAGCATGGTAACACCCCTGCTCTGGCAGCAAGCAATGTGCAGCACTGCAGCTCAGAGGAGTGTAACAACCCGGGGTCCAGAGTTACCTTTATTTAGAGAATATTTCATGTCATTATGATACAAAATCATAAGTCTCTTACCAGCCTCTTCAGAGGTGTGATAAACAATTGCTTCCAGCGCAGTCGTGGAAACCGGAGATGCCTTGCACCAGGTCTCTGGTCTGCAGGGTCATTTGGAGCTGCTTGGTTCTCAGCTGCCTGCGCTTTGCTGGGCGGTCAAGGCTCTGTAGGAAAATCCCTGCACCGTTAAAAAATGGCAAGGGTTTGTGATAATTTAGAGTTGGAAGGAATCGGCAGCTGCAGTCAGGATGAGAAAGAGCATGAAGTATCCCGATGTGAAAAACGCAGCAGAAGTTTAATATGGTTGGGACTGGGTTTGGCTGTGTCTGGTATTGGTAAGCCAACGGGCATTCAATATCGCAGCTGACTCAGGCATATTTATCTTTCAAAATATGCCCATTATTACACCATGTAATCTTGGTCAGCATGGGCAGTATGGGTTGGTTTTTTTTGCTTTTTTGTTTATTTGGTTGGTTTGGGGTTTTTTTGCTTTAACTGTTTATCACTGGCAGCAGTTCTGTGAACAGGATTTGTAAAATTTTGAACAGTTGTCCATGCTGGGAATTTAGATAGCAAGTGTATTTAATGCTTTTTCAAATTTTCAGTTAAACCAGTCATGGTGATCAGGTGAGCTGTACTGATTAGTCTGGGCCCCCTTCCTGGGTATTCTGGGCACTGCCGTGATTTCGGATTAGCCCTGTGGGGCAGCACTTGTGGTAATACTCAGTGTATCCTTCACCCTCAATTCCAGATAGCCTGGAGTTTATTCCAATATAACCAGCAGTAAACTGGTTAATAAAATTGAATTTAACTAGTGTTTTGGGCTGTTTACTTGCAGAGATAGGAAGATCACACCTGGTTGGCTTGTATTTACCATTTTTCTTCTTAAATTCTGACGTGTCTGATGCTGCTACCAGAGAATCACTAGTACTATTCTGATCACTCTCTAGTTTTCCACTTTGTAGCTAGTTCCTAGTGTCTGATTGCTGATACGTGTTTAGTCCAAACTGCTTGTGCTATTATGGTACTAATTTTAGCACATACAGGAACTTTCCAGATTATTCCAAGAGAATGGGAATTGATGTCTTTAACTTCAATAATCTTTATAATACTATTTAAAAAAAAAAAAACAACAAGTAGGATAATTATAAAATACAGTATTGGATCATATTATTCAATCAGAAGAAAAGATCAGGCAGAGGAACGTTGCAAAAATAATGCTCAGTTTTAAATGGAATTACTTGTTAATTCCAGCATCCGCACATACACAGTCATCAGGGAGTTATTGGGCTACGTGTGTTTGTTTTTTAAAACATCTGTCAACTAAGTCAGAAATCTAAACACAAAGTGTTACATTGGTTACATTTGTGGATTTCTTACATTTCCTAGTGGAATTTCATTTTGTATGCTAATCATTGGAGAATATGGAGGTAAAAATAGGATTAAGTTTGTCTGCATGTGTAATTTCTTTGGACAAATGACTTGCCCCATTCATTCTCCTTTAATTGTATTACAGCATCAAAGATAAGCAAATATATGAGATGGAGTTGTATTATTTTTGTCTCAGGTATCCTGCTGTCAGTGTGGAAAGAGGCATGTCATATACATGCTTCTTTTTTTTTTTTTTTTTTGTCACAGTAACAAAATAACAGGCTGTGGAGGACCTCAAGCTATTCTGAACAGTTTCATGACATGTTGTAGCTGATTCCTGTAGCCACACTGCAAAGCTCATTTCACTGTCCTGGATTAAGTAGGCTACAATCCAGTTGACAAAATGCTTCACTGCATAGCACTTACGTGCATTGTATTGACTGTCCCTATAGCTCAGTGTTACTGTGTTCACCGTTACGTGGTATATAGAAAATATTCATGGGGAACTAACTTGTGGGCTAAAGAAGTGCAAGACTTTTAACGGTTACCTGATACACAACGTTAAGATGTTTCTAAGATACTGCTTTAGGCAACTTTGCCATTGCACACCGTTGACCTATATTTATGATATTTGACATTTTTGATAAATACTGTCAAGGATAATCCATCACAGACCAAGGTTTCAGGGTGTTTGTTAAACTCTCCTAACTCAAATACAGAAATGTTTCAGAAAACAGCATTTTATATTTGTAAGTTGAGTAACAGGTTTTCCAAGTAAGAAAATTACTATGGAGTCCATTTCCAGAAGAATACAGCCATCTTCAGGTAACAGGGTACATGGTCCAGGTGAGCCTGGGCTCCAGCTGCCTGTTGGCTGAGGACCATATGTTTCTGTAGGTTGCATCTTTAAATCCCTACCACTTCAGATTTGGGGTGACCACCGTTGTAATGGAAAAACAAAACGTGGAATAAGCTTAGCAGTGCTTATGGTGTTTAAAGATCTGTCTTTCTTTCAAATTGAGTACAGTTTTTGAAATAATAATAACCATTTAGACCCATCTGCTGATCTCTTACGTGCAAAGTCCCTCAAGACTCGTGTCCTTTTCTCTGTTGTTCAACAGCTCTGTGAAGTCAAAGAGAATTGCTGTGTGTGGTTTGATATAGCTAAGAAGGCACTCAGAGCACTGAGGACCTCGAAACAACCCAAGGACTGTAGCTTGACTTAAAAATCTCTGGGTAAATGCTCTTGGTGACGGGGAAGCATTATGAAAGAAGCAAGTTCACTGAAGTGCATTACCTGAGTAATGCTTAAAGCAGCTGTAGCTCACTCACGTGTTTCGTATAGTTAAATACGGAGATAAACTGTGCACCCTTCTGTTTAACATTCAATGTAGACTGAATACATAACTAAGTCTCCTGCATGCCTCTGGCACATGCTGCGCTATCTCAGCTTCACTCGTGCTTCTCCAGATTTAGACTCACAGGAGAGCACGTCGCAGGCTTGTGGGACTCTGCAGCTTGGGTCTGCTCTTGAGCTGCAGGGTCTGCAGCATCCCTGTAATCTGCCTCTCAGAGGAAGGCCTCCATCTGTTTCATGTCATAGCCCATCGCTTTGTAGATGCGGGCAAACAAGATGTTCCTGATGTTCAACAATATCAGATAGCGCAGAGACATCCAAGAGAGGAAGTGTGGACGAATTCACGCGCCCACGGGTAGGCAGGAGTTCACCCACCAGAATAATGACGGCATGTTGCTGTACCGTGTCCTGAGATAGCGGATCTAAGAGATGGCGTAGGGGAGTTGCTGGCGTTTGGGTTTTGTTTGCTTGTTCTCATGAATGCTAGCTCTTAGTGGTACTGCTTAAACCGAGGTAATTTTTCAATTAAGAGGTAGCATTTTCAGGGTTTTTTGGGGACTATTACTTTTTCTAGGTTGAGTGAGAAACTCCTCTCAACTGAAGGCTGTTGACACACGGTGGTCCTAAATATAGTGGGAAGTACTGTCTTCTGAGAGGGAATGGAGGCAGCTCTGGTGTATGAAGCCTTATATACAGTCTGGAAGAGTTACATGAGGACACTGCTGTTTGCAGAGCAGAGGCTTGCTTCTACAATTAGAGCTGCTTTACACTCTGAAGCCATTGTAGTCATTAAAGAATAGCATCGAAATAAGATTATTTTTCCACTGATGCTTAAGTTTCCAACTTGCTGCTCCTGCCCTCTCTGTTATCCTGTGGTTCTCTGTGTGGCAGGGACACAGAAAGATACAAATAGGGAGTGGTTGCAGTAAATTTGGAACACCTTTTTGGCAGCGTTCTTGGAATTTGGACAGAAGCAAGGTATTTGAACCTATCCACTGATGGTCAGGTTTGTGTGCAACAGATTTTTTTTCACTGCATCTGATAAAAGTAGTAGACCTCCAGGACAAAGTTTGTCCGTCCTGTGTTTCTTATGCAAGGATGATTCTACACGATAATGCAAACTGTGTGTGTCATTTGGAGATTACCAGTGAAAGGCATGGTGAATAGATCTACAAGTGATAACATTAATTCATTGTGTGGTTCCTATTTTTTCCTTCTTGCCCTCTCCAGGCATTCAGTGGCTGTTCCTCACTCTCTTCCTCATCCATCCCGTGAATCCCTTTAATCCTCATCACTTGCTGTTTCCCCGCACCTCTACATTTCCTTCTCCAGTCTCTTCCTCCCCTTCCCTTGTTTTTGCTCCCAGTCTGCTGCCTTCTCTTCCTATTTAATTTTCCTTTCCTTCTTATTAATTTTTGAGCCTACTTTTTTTTTTCCAGTTTTCCACATCTGTACCTGCTTTGGTTTCTTCCTTCATTTTACAGGGTTTTTCCTCTGTTTGATCTCGCCTCTCATTTTCTCTGCTGATTGTTTGCCTCGCACTGCTCTCTGTCTGCTTAGCCTGTGTAGTGGACTAACTTGTTAAAAGGTTTAAAGAGAAAATGGCTTCACTCTGAATGTCTCTTCATTTAATGATTGCAATGTGCTCTCTTTAACGAGGTATTTTTGTCATTATTTCAGGTCTTAAAAATCAGCTTGATTGGCCACCGGAAGCGCATTCTGGCATCTTTGGGAGACAGGCTTCACGAAGACCCTCCTCAGAAACCACCTCGGTCAATAACCCTCAGGGTGAGTCCCCATGAAAATTTGTTTGTATTTCTCAAAAAGTCAGCAAGCGTTTCGTGACATTCACATGAAATCAGTGGCTGCTTTCAGTGGGGTTCTAGATGCCTTAGGGTGACCTGCTCAGTCGTGCCTCCCTGTATGGCCAGCAGATATAAATGGACGTTTTTGCAGGGTGATTTATCTGATCTGTTTCAGATGTCTACCTCAGGATGAGATTAGTATCTTAGAAGTACCAGCTTATCTTCTTTGCTCAAGGAACTAGCTCAGGACCAGGTGTGTACAAGCTGCACAACCACATTTGCCCACAGGAATCCCAGCCCAGCCAATCGATATTGCTGATGGAGAGTTACCATTTTCCTTTCATGTTTTCAAATGCTTGCACTTACTCTTCAGAGATATGCTTTATGCTTTCTTTAAAGAGAGACTCTTGAAATTGTTGAGCTACAAATGCCATTAAGATGTTTCTGTGTATCAAAAGTTCCCTCTTGTCTTTAATTTTAATTGTGTTCCCTCTTTCAGAAACCTTGTTGCAATGTCCCTGGGGTTTTTCCGCACTTGACCAGTTTTAATCTCCTCTCGTTACAGCACCTTCACTTGGTTTCTCCTATCCAATGCCTTTGCTTCCTTGCTGTCTGTTACCCTTATCGAGTTGTGGTCTGATGATCCGTTCCTACTGTGTTCTCTCCAAGGGAGTTCATATCAACACTTTGTATTTTGATATTTTAGGTCACACCTTTTGCATTTGATTGGATCTGATTATTTTCAAGGGGCTGCATTTCTGACTGGAATAGCATTTGGGACTAAATTTCCAAATGTCAGAGAGTGTCCGTGCTCCCCAGTTAAATTTCCTGGTGTAAAGAGAAATAGAGAAAGACAGAATGAGGGCTCATTTTTACATACACTTACAATTTCTGTGACCAGTCAGTTTTCACCACACTTATTCTCAGATGCCACGTATAGACATTTTAGACACACACCCCCACCCCAAATTCAACCTGTCCCTAACACCATGTTGAAAAAGGTCTCGCAAGTCTACAATGTCCTGCTCTAAGGCATGTTGCACAAACGTGTGGGTATTTTCCTTGTATTTTATTTTTTATGTATTATGTGAATGATTCCTGATGCATGGCAGGTGTTAAAATACTCCCAGGAAAGAGGAATCATTTGAAAGTTGCACATTTTTGCTCAATACTTTCAATGCTCTGGACTGAGGAATTAGTTCCTCTTCAGCAGGTGGGAAAGTTTCCACAGCCCATGTTATTGGTTAGGACTATATATTCTCAGTCAATAGTGAAGAGAAAACTGGATGTCCTCCACCTGCAGTCAAAATGATAAAAAGTAGTCTGCTGCTCAACAGCTAGAGCTACTGATACGGGCAAGTGCTAAATGTCATTCATCACCTCGTGGTGTTGGAGTCTTCACACAGAATCCTATAGAGGAGGACATCAGTTTGGATTAAGGTTTTCTTTCCCATCAACTGCTACTGTGCCATTTCACATGAAATGAGGACATAGTATTTAGTCTGTAGTTTGCAATAATTTTTAGCTTGAAAATTGGTTTAAATAAACTGCCTGCTGCTACTAGCAGATTGATTTATATAGAATCAGAGAATGGTTTGGGTTGGAAGGGACCTTAAAGATCATCTAGTTCCAAGCGCCCTGCCATGGACAGGGACACCTTCCACTAGACCAGGTTGCTCTGGATCAGTAGGAAAGATAGTTTGTTGTTTAAAGAGTCTACTTTTAAGGTCCCGAGGTCAGCCTAAGCATGGCTAACACTCGATCTTTTTCTACTCTTTTTGTATTAGCTTTTAAAATATTTCAAAGGAAAGAATGGTTAAATATTGAGGAAAAGCAGCAAACATTAAAAGTATCCACAAAATACGTTATTCCCACAATAACTGTGTACTAAGGAAAAGTTATTTTGATTTCAAACTCAAAAGTTAGAAAATGCTGGATCTCAGGCTACCTATGCAATCTTGCTTTCCTTCCTTGAGTGCATTATAATCTTTAATTACAGGACCGGTTTCCATGTTATTCATGGAACCCCATCCTTACCTGCTCAGCACTGGAGGCTGGAATTTGAACTGAAGGAATAAAAATTTAGGCTGAAAATTTGGATTTTAACACAAGAATTAATTCACTAGAGAGAATTCCTGGTTTTAGGAACGGGTTAGACAAACACCTGCAGGGCATGGGGTGCACCTAGGCAGCCTGGGGAAGATCTCTTAAGCTCCCTTCCAGCCCCAACCTGTGTGGTTCCAGCTTTATGTGACTGGCAGGACTGAGAAGTGAGGATCAGGCAGATTTTAATAGTGAAATATATGATCAGGTGTCCCTGCAGGGCATGTATCCATGCATTCACAACAAGGTGGAAACATGATAGGAATATCTGGTGACTAAGAGTAGCACAGTACTGAGGACATGACAGCACCTGCACAGGCATCCGTGCTTGGTCTGCAGATCTGTTATGGAGATGAGAAAGTGGGTATGGAGTGAGGAAGAGGAATGAAGGAAGAATCGAGAGAGACTTGTGATTAGAGGAATAGCTGTAGCTATGAAAATACAGATTTACACCTGCTTTTGCCACAAAGCCCTTGGATAATGCTTGGTAAGTTATTTAGGTAATTGCCTCATAAACAGTCACTAATTGTATGTTACTGGCATTCTGCATATTTGACTGGAGTCTGGAGTCTGATTTATACAAGTGCTGAGCACACAGTGCTGCAAATTAGATCAATAGAAGTGGAGTTTTGAATACAAGCACTTGGAAAATCAGGCAATAGATATTGTAATTGGACATCCAAAGTGACTGATATTTTTTAACCTTTGTCTGTGTGTCTCAGGTCCCCCACGCTAAAGTGGTGATTATAAAATGCCAGAAGTCACAGGGTGTTGTGAAAATAAATTGATTGACATTTGTAAAGCACTTAGGAGCATCATGAAAATGACAATATTAGTCATCCTATCTTCAAGTCAGGAATTGAACAGAGTTTAGGGAAGGGGTTTGGGGCCATGAAACGAGGTGAGAATAAAATACTGACTACACGATAACTAATGATAACACAGTGCTGAGTATATGACAACATGCTGCACAGTAGAGGATCCATCTGTGCTGTGAAGGACGACTTTGAGAAAATAGCATAAAATCATACAATTACATACTGTTCCATAATGCAGTAGCACCGTAATTCTTTTATTCCTTGACTTTGTAATTCTTGCCTGTATTGCCTTGCCAGCAATCTTCCAATAATAGATCTCTGAGTGAATTTCCTCTTTATATGCAGTTTGATAAAATATGAAGAGCTTGATGAGAGCTGGAATCTGTATGTCCATTGCACGGTCATCTGTCGCTTTGATGCGCTGATGGCCTTATCAGCCTGCTGACAGTGGGTGAACTGGGATTCGGATCAGAGAGAGGTTGCTGGAGGGGCAGGTACCGGTCATTAGAAAGGATCTCGTTTGGTGCCTCTCAGGTTATTTTCAAGGCAGAGGCGCCTGCAGCATCTAGTCAGAATTGGGCCCGTGGAAGAATCGGAGGGAGGCTTTAGACATTATGCCTCACCAAACCTTCTGAGTGTGTGCAGATTACAGCTTTTCAGAAGCTTTTAACTGGGCCAAATGTAGGTGGATTTTTGTGAAGGAGGGAAAAAGACTATTCCTAAGAGGAAAACACTCCTTTCTTTGCCCTGGGAAATGTCAAGTGCTTGTCTCAGATCATAGGAAAGCTAGAGAACTAAAAAAACAAAAAAAAATCCCAGTTAATTAAAAGTTGCTAAACAGCTGTGTATCCCTGGTTTTAGTCAACCAACCTGGAAAATATTAATCCGTTATTGTAATTGCAAGGAATAACGTCACGTAGACTCCTACGTTTCAAATACTAGCATCAGATGTTGCTATCGTTTGAACACATATAGAGAATTGCAACTTTCCATTTAGAAGAGATTACAGCTCTCTGATTTCTTACACCAGACCTTGTTTCTTAACAGCATGGAGTAAAGTACCTTGATGCTTTTCAGCATTAGGTTTGCTTCAATGTAATTGTGCATGAAATATCCACTTGAATTCTTTCTTTAAATAAAAAGGCAGGGTTTTTTACCCTCCATGTACACTGGAGCAGGTCTTTGCTTCCTCTAATATCTTCAGGTCCCTTTTTCTTGTTCAGCATTGAAATAGAGTATTACAGCAATAGGTAATTTAGACAAGGTCTGCACTGTGCAACCACACTCCCAGGTTTATTCTGCCTCCAAAGAACTTACTATCAGAGAAATCTCTAGTGTCAGATAAATTGAGCCCAGTAAGCTGCTTCGTGAGAGAGGAACATGTTTCTCCACCCAGTTGCTGTGACAGTGGTTTGCAGCCCGCACTGGGGTGGTACGGCTGGCCAGTACGCTGTAGCTCTGCTCCTGCTGATTCCCATCGCCAAGAGAGTGTCGGATGGTGGAGCTGGGCACCAGTGTTTGCAGCTGGTGTTTGAACAAGTGATGTGATGTGCATGAGAATAGGTGTTTCCAAACATACATATGGTGGCTGGCTGTGAGTGGTGTGGTGGCAGATCCCGGTAAAATGTATGATCAGGAGGACTTGTTTAGATGCTTATTAGATAGAGTTCATGTGTCAATTCGCTGTGGTATTTGCACACTGACTGATACAAGGTCACAGTTCAGCAGAGATTACTGAAAAGAAAAGCCTGATAAAATATTTGTACTCTGATGCTTTCCTGCAGTCTAGGAATTGCTGTTTAGCTTGTTTCTGATATCCAGTACTTCAAGTTAAACGGATGTTCTGCAAGACCTATAAAAACTGCAAACAAAGTGTCTATATTTTGTAAACGTTCGTGCATTCCTTTTTTCCAGCAAGAGATGTTGCTAGAGTTCAAATCACTTTCATATCACTTTCACAGCTCAGAGTGGCTGCTCAGAAGTGGTGAGAATGTATTTCATCTTACAAATAGCTAGCCCTAAATCATGGCTTTATTTGGGCCTTGACAAGAAGTAACTCACTGTTTTATCTCTCTAGCAGTCCTAGAAGGGAGCATATATTACACAAGGAGGTTTCAAAGAGGGAATTTGCTACTAGTTCATGTAAATAGTGAATTATTTTTCCTTCTACATGGGCTCTGCGCCTTAGGTAGCAAATCTCAAAAGTTCATCTACAGCAACCTCTACTTCAGGAATTGTTCCTTAATTTTTTTTAGTATGAATAATTCAAATACACTTTTAAATGTGTGGTTTGAAGTCAGCAATACGCTGTTCTTCTTACGCTGCATTTTTCTCCTCTCTGTCCAGGAACCCAGCGGTAACCACACTCCTCCTCAGTTGTCTCCATCACTTAGCCAAAGCACTTTCACTACTGGTGGCTCCCTGGACGTTCCCCACATTATCATGCAGGGCGATGCGAGGAGAAGAAGAAATGAAAACTATTTTGATGACATTCCCCGGTCAAAGCTGGAGAGGCAGATGGCACAGGTAGGGTTAAAACGATGCCATTAAAAGGCTGTTCCTTGCTGCAATTTGTTACAGAACTAATCCTAACCATAGCTGTGGGTCATATATGAAGGCTGAATTGTAAACTACAAAGATTGACAGTTTTTCCAAGCTGTATGTTCCAGTTCTCTCTATTTCAACTAGTGTAAGTTGGTGTGCAGTTTCTCCTGAGAGGTAGAATTTTGGGAGTGTTTAGGTGCCTGGAGGCTGAGATGAAGGTGCCTCCTGCGCACCAGAGTATGCAGTCTCCCAACGGCACTGACTCTGCCTCTTGTTGCTGTAAGAAGGTTCAGATTCCTCAATTTCTGAGCAATATAGATAAAAATAAGCTGACATGAGTTCACTGCCAGCAGCTCAGAGGACTTGGGGGCTGGTGATTGCTGCATTTATTAATGGAGAGGGTCAGCATTCTGCTAAATTCTGTGATCTGGGGATATATCTTGAGTGCTTAAAAAAAAAAAAAGATTTAACTGCGCAACAACTCATTTGAGCATTGCAACAGTGCTAGACTCAACTGGATGTTAAATCAAACTGTTCATGAAAGAAAGCCTAAAGTAGCCTCCCTCTCCAAATGTTCTCACCCAACCACAGTAAGACTACTGATAATTTTAAATCAAGCATACATTGACCAGAGTGATGTCTTGTACCATTCTAAAGGGCAGTAAAGTTAAGCTTGGGCAGCCTCTTGGCGGAAGTGCTTTAGGATGAACTCAGCTGGTTTTTGGTGGTACGTATGATGAAAGACAGCCAGGTCTTTGCAGCACATGTTGGAAATAGGGCTTTGATTTGCTGTCAGAAGCAGATGGGCAGCCAGTGCGGTTCCTGGAGCGACTCACCCCACGAAGGAGCAGGTTGCTGCATGCTGCTCTGTGTGAGGCTTCCCAGCCATTCTCTGCTTGCCACAGCCCAAAGTAGAGCCTCTATCCAAAATTCAGCCTCAAAATGGAAACAGCTATGCAAATAACTGTGTTATGGTTAACATAATGAACAAAAGGCTGCAATCTCTCAGCTAATTGCATGAACAAGAAGTAATTAAGTAAACAAGCAAAACAAGGTGCTGCCGTTACCTGGTCACACAGAAAAAAATTGAATTCCATTTGTTCAGAGGACATTTCTGCGGAAGTGAAATTGCATTTAGTTGGGTGGGGCTGTTTCCTTGCCTTTTTTTAAACTCCTAATTCTCTGCTGTATAATGTTATTGTACAGAATTAAGGGGAAAGTTGCCTAGTGAATGAGCTTGTTTTCAAACCAAAGTGCTGGGCTTTTGTGGCAAGAACAAGATTGAGCTGAAGTCCAGCAAGGAAAAGCCCAGTCCTGAACATGAAAATATTTCTTTGAAGGTCATGAAATTTAGGTGTTTGAGCATGAAATACACACTTGCTCATGGCTGAGTAGGCTGCTTCATCTACTTAGTTCATTTTATCACTTGGTTCACAAATCCCTATTCTCACTTCCTCTTTTAGTCACTAGCATTGAAGAAAAAAAAAAAAACCAAAACCAACCCAACCCCAAAAAGCATACTAGCTGTCTCCTTTTCACTCTTTTCTTTTCCTGTTTGAAGTTCTGGTATTCCCAAGAGGTATGACACACTCTCATATATGGCACCTGGAGATTTTCTTTGGGCTGTTAAAAATGGCTTTTCCAGAAGGACTGTGGTATGTTGCATATCCAAAGAGAAAACTGAGCAGTACTTACTTACACCACTCCAAACCACTTTAAAACCAATTAAGTGCTGGGATTTTTTTTTTTTTTTTTTTTTTTGTGGGAGTGTGTACCCACTGAATGAATGACTTCAGTGCCTTCTCTCTAACTTTCACTGTGGAATATAGCAGTCATCCTTTGGGACTCCAAAGAGGAAAATGGATTCAGATGAAATCCATAAGACAGTGTTTTGTGTTAGTCCCTGAACTCCAATCTGTTTGGAGTCTTTCTCAGCTGTGCCCCCAAATTCTGTGCTCCTAATGTATGTAAAATTCCCTTTGACTTTAATGGGAAAGTCAATGACTCCCTCTGGTGATCATTCTCACTAAATTGGACTCACCCCATTAAGAGGCTAATCAGGGATTTCTTCAACCATTCTAGCCCAAAAATAGATTTTTAAATTTATTTTTTGCAATATGGTCTTTGCTAAAATGAACTATATTTCCTTCAATCTTTTCCCCCAAAGCCCCTTTGAAATTAAAGGTAGAATAATTGTTTCTGGAAGATAAAGGAGGTCTAACTGATTCTTAACATGAGCCTTCTGCTCCGTGGTTGTGGGTTTTTTTTACCTAGCAACTTCCTCCTTGCAGTTTGCAGGTTCCTTTGGCTTATGTCAGATCAACAACAACTTCTGAGCTGATACCAGTCCAGCTTTCCAGCTAGAATACTTCTCACAAGCAGAATGATCTAGAGGGATTACTGGAATTGCTTTGAGGATATTCTTTGTTTTAACCCTCTCTTTGCTAGGCTGCTTGCATGCCGCTCTATGAATCTGCATGTTTACTGGATGCTATAGTAGACGGATGTGCGTAAAGACATCTTTGAAGCTGTGATTTTTTTAAATGGTTTTAGGTATGTTCTTGACGATGAGATTAATAGGTATTTTTATAGCCTTGAAGAGAGAGGCCAACACAGTATTGAGAGCTTATTCGTGGTATTGCTTTCATGAATTTGATTTTATTTCAGAAATGTTAGGATCTAAGACTATTGTTAGTCTCAATTTAAAATCTAAAATCTGAAGATATTTTGAGAAAATGGTGAGCTCTGATGTTTCCATCTTTACTATGGCCTGTCTTTTCACTAAACTTTTACATGGGAGTTGTCATGCATGTTGATCTTTGCATCAGATATCAACCAGTGTTTGTTAAAAGTGAGCACATCAGCTTAAATTTGTTTGCCTTTGATCTGCTAAATGGGTTTAAACAATTCTCTAAACCGTAATCAAACCTGCTTGTAAGTAATACAACGCTTTGTTTCCTGGAGGAAGCACTGATTTAAAGTTACTTAATGTGGGTGGTTTTGTCTCAAGGCCAGCATGTACCTTCATTCACAGTTCCCTAGCAGACTGTTTGTGACCTGAGAGGGGAAAATCCTAATATAAACAATGAGTCTAACGAATTTGGATTCCCCACTGGAATACGTTTGGTCATCCAACTCTCCAGTTGTTTGTCCAACTTTGAAAGTCTTTGACGTCTGGTTGGATAAACCACAACTGCCAAAAAGGTAATACAGAAGGTTTCGAGATGGTTTGTTTTCCAATTAAAAAGGAAAAAAAAAATCCAGAAAGGGTTGAGTAGTCTGAATCATCTTTGTGGATGTTGAATTCTGAGCCTACAAACTGTATATTAATATGACCAAATTAATTTAGTTTAAAATAGCTGAAGCTGTTCTTCAGATTGCCTAAACCTTTAAAATAGAATTGAAATCATACAAGCAAAGCCTAAGGACTTTGGAACCAAAATCAATAGGAGGAGTCCCATTGGAGGGATTGGGCTCTTCATTCACCCTTGAAATCATGGGGCGGGGGTGCAAATATATATTTGCAGGGAAGAGCTTTGGAGGTTAGAAGGATGCATAGCTAAGTTCATTAAAATACACCAGTTAAAATGTCGGGTCTTTAGGATTTGCAATTCTCCAGGCAGCAGAGAAGCTTTAGGTACTAGCTGCAAGCATATCCCAGGCTGCCAGCCCCGAGGCTGTTGCTATTTATTGCTCCAGCCGATGACACACGGTGTTTTTAGCCACTGTGGTCCATAAGACTTGTCGCCGTGGTGGTCAGCATGCTGCATCCTGCCCCGAGCCGAAAAGCATCCACGCCGTTCCTTGCAGAAGCCCAGCTGGGTCAGGCATCGTGCTGCACCCTGAGATGGGAGAGGTCCCTCCTTTCGGCAGGTGGTGCGTGGATGCCTCTTCAGGGCTCCGGGGAAAGCTCCGGGCTGTGTCTGCCTCTGGGAGAAAAAACTGATCGTGAGTCAGAGTAAGCTTTCTGGTAGGATAAAGCTAGTTGTGGCCCGTATGGGGGGCACCCCAGTGGGCTGTGATGGAAGGAAGAGAATCATTTAAGATCTCAGAGGGTTGGAAAAATTATTCACAAAGGCTGGCAGGAGAGGTTCTTTCCCAGAGATACTGAACCCAGACTTAGTTTGGAAAGCCTTTGGCGTTCTTTGGTCCCATGGTCTGAGGGCTCTTACTATTTTCTTTTTTTTTTTTTTTTTTTTTTTTTTTTTTAAAATGCAAGTTAAATGTAAGGTCATTGTAATGACTGGGTAGTAGATTTGAAGTAAAGCTACCCTGATTGTTGGGATTCTGCCTTGTAATGTTATTTTGTGAGATACAATAATTCATTGCAGGATTAGGATTGATGTGCAGGAGTTGGTCATTTAAATGGAGTTAGTACCAGAGATCCTTTATCTACAACAGGGGAAAAGTGTAATAAAAACAAGAGACATAATTTGTGAAGGCAGGTTTATATGAAAATTGTGAGATAATTTTGCTGCTTTCTGAAATAATACCTTCAACTCAATAATACCTTCCAAATACTTCACAGATACTAATGCATTCATATTTCCAGTGCAGTGTGGGGCTATGTGGTTTAAAATCATGTTTTTCCGTTGTACAGCTAAGAAAACTGGGGTACAGGGATGTTGCAGGTTGGCTAAGATGACACTGAAAATTTGAAGGAGCCAAAAATAAAACTCTTGCCTCATAAGACCTTCAGTTTTTTAACTTTTAACCACAGTATGACTTTTTTTATTTGCTTGTTTCCTGTTTGTTTTCCTGTCTCCTTCTCTGCTTTGGAAGGATTTAAAGATTACAGTGAATGAAGGAAAATATGCCCGGGAGAATACTGGTGTGTAAAATGTGATAATCTAAGAAGCAATGAAGAATGGGTTTTATCAATGGTTGAAATTGCTGGTGAAATAGCAGAATTCTTTACTAGTAGATTTAAGAAGCAATAAATACAAAAATACGTTGTCTAGATTATTTCATTCTGTTGTTAT